GAGCCACAGCATCTCACACAAATTTCACATGCAGACCCAAGTGACGACGCTAAAACAGAACCTGAAATTAAGGAAAACGAATATATTAATTCTAATTCTCCACCTGTACTGAAAACAGAAGACTCTACTGTTTATTCTCAAAATTCTGAACTGAAATCACCGACTGATTATTTGAGAGCTCAAGTGTAAGTACTTTACTGTATTATTTGATTCTTTATTTCTTTGTTTGATATTTCTAATGAAATGATGTATCCAAAATGCATCATGTTTTTGAAATTATAATACATAATATTCATAACATTAATGAATTATTGTTTTAATTGCATCCAATTTAAGGCTTCAGTTATCATTTTGACTTTCTCTTGTTTCAGGTATAGTGAAAAACAACTTTATATCATTGTGATTGTAATACTGGCAGTGTGTTGTGCATTATTTTTCTGCACAACGCTAGGCCTGAGTGTGAAGATACTGTTCCTCAGGAGAACAGATTTGCCAAAAGGAGAATTGCCAACTACAGTTCCAACTAAAGGTATAAGTCACAACATACAAGACTTTTCCCATATGGCTCAACATCTGAGAGGATTGCATTTTTGTTTGATGCTCTGTGTGTGTGTGTGTGTGTGTGTGTGTGTGTGTGTGTGTGTGTGTGTGTGTGTGTGTGTGTGTGTGTGTGTGTGTGCGTGCGTGCTTGCATGCGTTTTTAGTATATCATTATAGTATTATTATATTACTATTCTTTTATTATAGTACTATTTTTATTACTATATTAGCATTTTTACTATTGTATTAGTAATTAATGGAATCAATAATTCGCTAACCTCTTCACAGGAACCCCAGCAAAGAAACCTCGTCAGCCAAAGAGGTTTGGGCCTCCGAAAAAGGCTGGCTTTACAGCAGTCTCAACTTGCTCAAGACAGGCTGATGATGGTGTTCACATTAACATTGAAGACTGTTGTCAAATGACACTGTGCGAAACGGTAAGATGGAGATATTAATGTTGCAAGAACTGTGTGGCTATTTATAAATCTATTTATTATTAACACAATCTCTTTCCATCTTTCCATCTTTCTGAGTTTAGATAGTATTTGTAGCTTTATTAGCTCTAATATAAGTCATACAGTCTGTTGGGTTTATTAAATTTGACTGTAGTTGTAGTTGAAAAAAACAAAATAATTACTTTATTTTTAATGAATAATACATCAGTATATACAGTATTGTTTACTTTATATAATATTCAGCTTGAGAAAGCTGAATTACATTGTTACAAATTTTATTTTGAAGATTTTTCAGTCTATGTTACACAGGTTATTCAGATGCAGTGAAATAAGAAAGGTTGCATTTATTGATAATATTCCTTCCGTTCTTCTTACAGCCTTGTTATACCACTGTCAAGAAAGAAGGAAAAGGGTATAAAGCTGGTAAAGAAGACAAGAAAAGTTTGCTCGAAAATTACAACTTTTGATAATTTTGACTTAGAGTCTAAGCGTTAGAAGCCAGTGGTTAAGAACACCTTATGTAAGCGCCTTGCCAATTAAATAAGACGACTGCGGGCTACCAAACATGAAACACGACAAGAGTGAGTATTGGTATTTTTACACGTCAAGTCCATATTATCAGCTCATTCCTCCGTTTAGGTTTAGCTGTATCAATGGAAATATTTCCGAACAGTGCAATATGATGGGAATTTGGTGATGTTGTAGAAGGTAATTGAATCTGAAAGCTTAAATCCACATTCTTTAAAGTTATTCATTTTTGGTCCTAGAAGTAATATTTCTTTCTTGTGGACACATGAAAAAACAGACTGTTGCCTTTACCATTACGTGAAACTGTCTGCAAATTAATGACTTGTTAAAGGGAAGTGTTCAACCCTTCCCAAGTTACTTGTCATTACTGCCATTGTCCAGAGAACTTTATTATCATCAAGCTGTAAATTGGACTCACTCATGAGATGTATTATATACTTACTCTGTAAATATAATGTTACAAGTGGTCTAAGACTTATTGTATATTATGAAGAGGGTCTATCATATCAGATAGGCATCATCACATTCACATATGCACATGCACATGCACAAGCACATGTACTGGTGTATGTCAGGCACACACACACCAGCAGACACAGATCCATAAACATGCACACACACACCAGCAGACACAGATCCATAAACATGCACACACACACACGGACACACACAGACAAACACAGAGACACATGTCAACATGTCTGATTTCCCCGTCTGTTAAAGTCAATATCATAATGGCTGTGAATTACCTCATTTTAGATTTTGCTGCAGTTACATCTTGGCACAATGGTTATTCATTTTCATTCCTCGTACTGCCAGTAAATGGGTGTGGGTCATCTTGCTCGTGCAGGACCTCTTCAGGAGGTTAGGCCCTTCCCTGCACTAACCCGTGGGGCTACTCAGCTGCACCTTTTGTGTAGTTTTTTTTTTTTTTTTCGTAGAGAGGGTGATTTCAAGAAAATATGAAGAAAAAAAAACACGGTAAAGTAGTATTTCTTGCACTTATTAAAATTATAATAAATCACTTGACATCTGGTGGAATCATTAGAGGTTACTGCTCAGAGCCACATCAATAGGTGCCAAATAGCGTTTCCATTAATGTTATTCTGAATCTGGTAAGTATTTGATTTTAACTTGTCATACTTTTTTGTCTTCCAGCATGCCATTAGCTTTTTCTTTTGGCTTGCTTTGGCTTTTAATAAAGATTGCATTGAAAATAAGAGAGAGAAAAAAAAATCAGACATTCTTTTTCAATGGAACAAGTTTAAGCAACATCTCTGTATGTTATAGACGTCTGATGAGAATGTTTTATAAAGATCATTCAGGAGTGGCACAATTTTTTTTTTCTTTTCTTTTTCCTTTTTTAACAGACTAATCTCATTGTGTTTTAAGTATAATGAATATGAACTTGTCATACTTGAGCCTTAAAATTATGGAAAAAAACAAAGTAAAAGTAACAAATGTACAGGAAAGTACATGAATCTGAGAATCTGTTAATTCTACATTAATTGTCTGTATAAATGGTGCTCAGATTTTATGATTCATATGCATTTTAAGAGTATATGGCCATAGTTCACATTATCACTTGGAATTCTGAGAATGGTGCAAGAGACTGTTATCGAGAAAGTGTAAAAAGTATCACAGAAAAACTAACAACATATCATCTTAAATATATATGCTTCATCTACTAACAAATCAAATGGTAACAACCCCAATGAACGTACTGTATTGTATGTTCAATAACTGAAGGTGAAAGTGCTCACTACTTAAAGCAGCTTTTCTCATATTCATAACATTTCATAAAGGTGTTAATATTTATTGTATTTTGGAGTACATGTTACTGGGATGTTTTGCCCCAAATGTGTTTTCTGTGTTGACTTATATGAATGTAAGATGTGTATAAAATCATCTCTGCATAAATGAAGGTTTTGTGGTTGGGAAATAATCAGTGTAAGATCTGATGTAAAAAGTTATTATACAAGTTGAGTTACTGATCATTGTATGGCTTTGACTTACAAGTTGTATTGTCCAGACATGAACTCTGGAGTTGTTAATATTATAGCTGAACTGTGATAAAGAACTATTAGAGAAAAACGATCATACATGAACAATCTATAATCCAAAGCATTTAGTTATATTTATTTTATATTCATTTAAATGGCTGTAAAGCATTTCACTTTTTAAGAGTGCAATGTTAATCTTTAAAAAAAAAAGGGTTTTCTTTTATTTGAAGGTTAATGCTGGTCTGAACCAAGCCGACAGTTAAATGTTATAATATCTCCATTACTACCTGGGAAGGAGAATCGAGTCCCAAATTCAGATGGTCTAGTGTCAATTTATTTATACAAAGATCTGAAACTTTGCACCATTTTTTTTTAATTATTATTATTATTAACTTTAATGATTATTGTCTTTTGTATAATCCAGCTTCCAATATATGGGCCTGTGATTTTTTTTAACCCTCTGACCTTAAGAAGAGGTAGAGAAAAACTATATTTTGTATAATTTTATTCTATTATTAAGATGGGATATGTTTGGGGTGTCAAACATGTCGAGAAATAGATTTTAATACAGTGTTGGTATCTAGGGTCAGCTCTTCTATGCTTGTGCAAAGTCCATCTTAGTTTGGTGTCAGAAGGTTAAGACATAAATGTGCTAGACATTATATCATGTAGCACAACTGGGTGTCAAAATCTAGTTTATAATTCCAGGTTTATGAAAAGAAAATATTACCCTATAGTAACTTTATCGGTAATGATGAAACAAAACGGTAATGTTTGAAGTCGCTGGATCAGTCAACTAGTGTTTCTGCTTTTGAGAGTAGGAAGCAGTTGTGTGGAAAGAATGTATAGTTTTCTAGTCAGGAATACTTTCTTTGGAGCAGCAGGTTATTATTTTTTTTGTTGACATTTTCCTGTTTTGAAGAACAGTTGAAACTTCCTCAGGGAAATAATCTAAACTATTGTTTGTGAGTTTTGAGGAAGATCAGTTGGTTGTGAAGAGGTACAGTATTAATGTTGTCAAGTAGCCGTTTTTGTCTGCAGTTGCATTTATTTTCTCTGAATGATGTGTAATTAAACAATTTCCTTTCTTGATTTTCTAATAGGAAACTAATAAATTTATGTAATTTCTGACAAATTACATTTTTATGCAATCATAAATGGTTGTCCAAATCTGGTTTTCCATTTCTTATGTGAAACATCTGCTACATATGAGCATATTAATGTCTCTGTATAGGAGTTTAATATCTTCATATATGCAGATCTCTGAAAGGTATAAAATTTACAAGAAATACTTCTTGATGGTACCATGGCAGAATGGCACAGCCCTAGTACTAATATTGTGTATAAAATGCTGTAGTAAAATGGTGGGACTCCCTTTAACTCTGCATAATATCTAGTTATTTAACATATTACAATCTCAAAAGGAGATAGAGAAACAAAAAACATGAAAACTGCAGTGTTAAAATGTCCTGATATGTTGCCTTACCTCGCTCATCCTAAGAAAGGATAGTGATATTTTTGTATGCAAGATTTAATGAAGCTGCATTTATTTGTGAGGGTCACATGTAGACACCAAGATGGGTCACATGTTGGACCTTTTAGTCATTGTTGTGGTTATGGTATGGGCTCTTCAGATGGAGACATACCACTGATAGTTTAGAATTTCTTTTCAAATGATCAACACCAGTGGTACAGTAAGTTTCCAGGATAGGTTTAAACAGGTATTTTTTCATAGTCTCATTCTTGTTGGTGTCATGTTTATTTTTATTATTCTAGACTGTAGCAGCTAAATTTCATCTGTACATGATTTTTTTTCTTTACTTTTTCCATTGGGAAGAGTAAGCCTTATTTTTTATTTTTTTTATTTTTTTTTTAAGAATCAAAATCTGTCAGATTATTGTACCATTATGATTTCCCCATATTTTCTCAATGCAATAAATGTTGATCTCACATTTTTCTCATGTATTTTCTTACCCTATGATACAATAGCAATACCTTTTAAGAACAAAATTGCAGGTTACCATTAATAAAAGAGAATTGGAAAAAAAAACAACCCTTTATTTCAGTCACAACATGGAATCAGACTTCAATTTGCTGGAATGACTATGGTGCCTGCAGAAGAGAAAGAGAGAGAAAAAAGTTATTTAGAAAATGTGCAGATTGAAAGTTAGCAAAAAATCTATGACAACCAAATACTGTGGTATTTGAATATTTTATAAGAATTTGGCAATTTAGAAATTTTTAAATAAAGCTTTTCTACCAATCCCATATTATTTTCAATATATATCGAACATAAATTTTATGAATAAGAATAATGACAATTACCTCACCTTTCACTCACTTCCAAATGCTCATTTTTACGCTTCTATATCCTTATAAACCCTCTCAGACATATATCCCTACCCATAGAAGTAGGAACAAGATGCCGAATCCCATAAACACAGAAGCAACGAGGGCAATGAGACACTCCTGGAAGGAAAATACAGGTGTAAATTAAACAAAATTCTCAAAATCTTTTCTGCAATAAGGTTCTTACCCAATATCTGCAGTTACATAAATGCTAATGAATAGAGAAGAATGTCTAGGTAGGCAGCTTACCTTGAAGAAGTCTCTTGTGAGCTTTGTGGAGGTGACTTCATACACAAAGAACCATGCTGTGAAGAATATCCCAATGCTCATGAGGACTAACGTCAAGTGTGGGTAGATGGCAGGGTTCACCGGGGACACATACCTTGACATAGACTCGATACCAACCTGAAAAAGGATTAAAGCTTTTCTACCAATCCCATATTATTTTCAATATATATCGAACATAAATTTTATGAATAAGAATAATGACAATTACCTCACCTTTCACTCACTTCCAAATGCTCATTTTTACGCTTCTATATCCTTATAAACCCTCTCAGACATATATCCCTACCCATAGAAGTAGGAACAAGATGCCGAATCCCATAAACACAGAAGCAACGAGGGCAATGAGACACTCCTGGAAGGAAAATACAGGTGTAAATTAAACAAAATTCTCAAAATCTTTTCTGCAATAAGGTTCTTACCCAATATCTGCAGTTACATAAATGCTAATGAATAGAGAAGAATGTCTAGGTAGCAGCTTACCTTGAAGAAGTCTCTTGTGAGCTTTGTGGAGGTGACTTCATACACAAAGAACCATGCTGTGAAGAATATCCCAATGCTCATGAGGACTAACGTCAAGTGTGGGTAGATGGCAGGGTTCACCGGGGACACATACCTTGACATAGACTCGATACCAACCTGAAAAGGATTTACAATGATTTGCTGAAGGCTAGTAAGTCAAACCAAACAGTGCTGCTTCTAAAGAAATTAATATAGTAAAGCTATGTATTTGGTGATGAAATGGAGCTGAAAAAAGCTTGCCAAAAGGTGAATTTACCAAAAAGAATAAGAAAAAGAAAAAAAAAAAAAAAAAAAAACTATTTTCTGGAAGGCATACACATTATAAACTTCATCAAATATCTTATCATGGACTCTTTATGTCTAGTGCACATTTATAGTGGCTTTAGTCAGTACTAAGCTGTGATAGGAATGATACTAGACCTAACAGGTGGAGAGGGCTTGACATATCAGAAAATGGCAGGGGTAGGTTATGTATTTATAGATTCTTCCATAAATAGGAGGCTATGATCCAAAAGCCACTTGTGTTTGGGTGCTGCTGCAACATCCCTGTCTGGAATACAAAATCTCCACCACATCTGACACACACAGTTTATGCCTAACATCACAACCCAGTCATGTGCAGGTAAATGTAAGTTAAAGGAGTTTTCTGACTTTCTTATTATCCCAATTTATTAATTCGACTGACCATCTTTTTGCTGTATTTGGTTATCAGACAAATACAAGTTCATCCATCCCAAATTTAATGGGTTCTAACCCATTGGATCTGGATGCTTCATCACGAGGCCCAATGCACAGGTTTTGGGCTTACTTGAGAAGGTACTCTGCTGGGTGTGCAGCCTGTAGGCCAAACATGCACTTGTGGGTGGTGACAGACCTCATGCCCCTCCTTTACAATATCACTCATTCTCTGCATAAGCATTTTTAGCTTTTTTGCCATTTTCCAATTACTATATTTGTCATTTGCTTTGCTTTTTCCAGATGACAGTAAACAACTTTCCTTGCACAGACTCCATTTAATATCTCTAGGTAGCCCATAATTCAGTGCTAAAATAAGTAACACTTATTATAGTGCTGGTAGGCAGGAACAGGATCCTGAGTATGGAAATAGTGTCCTCCCTGGAGCTGGCGCTTTCCCAGTCATGGCTCTTGGATGGTACATTTCATTGTCATTTAACAATGTAAATGATGCAAAAGCACCTTCCTAAATACCAAATGAGTAATCTCCATCCCAGAGCTTTGTGTACTTATGGCAAGTCCTTCTTGTAACCCCAGCCCTCAGCCAAAATTTCTGTGACGGTAAGTTCCCATTATCCCGACCCTCTGTCAAATTTTCCCAAGGCAGCAAATTCACATCATCTACCCTTTAGACTAAATTTTTTCATGACATGATAGACATGTCACCTAGATTGTAGGGGTTAATGATAATGAGATTATCACTGACAATTCATATCCAAGCAGAAGCAATACATGATGCTTCCTTTCCCAGGAAATCACCTACAGAATTTGTCAAAGGATATAGGGAGAAATTGCAATTAAATTCATATTCAGTGATAATATGGTTGCCAAATGTGATATTCTATAGCTGAATGTGGTGCCTGGTAAGCAGCTGATACAGTGCGATGGATGCAATGGTTATATCAGTAAATGGTATATGCTCATATTACAATCACAATGCTTGAGAGGGCCTGAGGCTGGGTGTGTCCTATGCTCTATCCTCCTGTGGATTCTTTGTCATCTTGTCAAATGCTTGGACCACAGCCCCCTGCATTTGACTATGTACTGACCAATTTTGTGTATATTATTCATATACATTTTTTAGAGGGTGGCATAGCTCAGTGGTAGAGCCCTGGCTTTGCAATCGTAAGGCCCTGGGTTCGTGCCCAGCCGCTGCCCCTCTAAATTGACTCAGCTGTGAATGAGTACTGATATGCTGACGTCGGCATGTTGGGGTCAAGGTCGGGGCGGAAAGGAACTGGCCAACCTACTGCATCATCCTGCGGCTTTGTAAGCATGTTTCTCTGTGAACGTGTCCTCTACGTTCACATGGACACAGGCCAAACTTTGACTTGATTCATATTTTACCCCAAAATTTCCTTGGTGCCTTTCATGCCTTTTCTGCTATTGGGATCAAGATTGTGTGTACTGGGAGGGTTTCTGCAGCATATTTTTCTACATATATGTGAATGCACCTGTCATCTGAATATTAAAAAGTTTCAGGTAAATTTTTTCAGTATGGATGCACTCACCAGAAACATCTCCTAAATCCATATCACAACATCAAGTCAGCAATCTAAGTTGCCATGACTGGAAGAGCCATGTGAATACTGCCCAAGGAAAAGGTATGCTGTGTATACATCAGTATGCACAGTGTATTGAAACTCGTGAACACCAAGTGGACTTGAGCTGTCATCAGTGCTTTCCACAATTTTTTTCCCTTTATTTGTGGAATTATCATTTCTGTTTGCAGCTTATTCCTTGTACCAATGATAAACTTTTAGTCCCCTACTAAAATATAATTTTCGATTTCCCCTAGCGTGGTGCATCAATACCATAAAGATTAACCAAATTTCACATAATTAATCCTCTTCATTTCATGAACTGTTATAGCTTTTTACTGTAGGACCTCTCCTGGATATTTCCTTTATGGTATAGATGCACTTAGCAAGAAGAAAATGAAGTTAATAGGATATTCTTGTAGAAGACAAAAAGTTACAGTTGTCTATACAAGAAATATTCTGCAGACATGAACAGTAGCCCACAAATAAAGGAAAGAGTTTGCAGAAAGCACCGCTCGCAGCTTAAGTCCACTTGGTGCTCCCAGATAGATCTTGCTGGGCATAGCAAGGTGAAGACAATATTTGCTGAGGATGTTGGATGGCAGAGCCTCCCATAACCTCCACCTCTGACCACCATCCTGCCGTTTGGACTGGGAGTGCACTTTATGTAGCAGGACTTTCTGCTTGATTTGCTCTAGCGCATTGCGATGCCTATAGCCATTACTGGCGTAATGAGTTGGTTTGTTATAATGGCCACAGGTGTGGCCTGGTAGATATGGGTTTTAACAGACAATATGTAGTATGGGGTAGTGGTAGAGTTGGGTAATAAAACCTACATGAAATGATAGAACAATACAAACCAAGATAAAGTTCTTCTATGGCAATGTGTGTGCAAATGCTTCCCAAGGGTGCTGTACGTAAAAGAAAAGAGAAGATCCCCCAATTTTGGCGAAGTTGCTCATCTTGTTTACATTGCAAGGGTGAATTCTAGACGCATATAACTACTATGGGGGCCCAGGGGGCGTAGCTCCCTGGCTAGGCACATATACTACCATGGTGTTAGGTTTGGTTGGATGTTGGGTTAGGACGTTTTGTTTAACAACCACCAGTCCTGTTTTACCCCATAATTTCCCTGATATACTCCATGCCCTCCCCTGCTATCGGGACTATCAAATCAAGAATGTCGATGGAGATGGTGATCATCTCTCCTCAAGGATTCATTTGCACAAGCACATGCCTAGAATCGTTGAAAGCAGCGGACTTCATATAGAAAATATCAAAACTGTTTCGAAAGTAACCCACTACTTTCTTGTACATATTGACCATAAAATATATTGTAAGGAATCTCATGACTTATTTCGAGTCAACATCAGAGAAACCCTTAAAAACAATCCTTATTGACCGTATCACTAAATGAATCATACACCATGGCTCTTCTAAATAAAAACCATTAATCACGAACTATAACAAGTTAAAAAATAATCCCACCACCAAACCAGAGAGCAAAACCGGTAAAATATATAAAAAAAAACACATTGAACCCACACCTTCCCCTTAACAACACGAACCCCCCATCCCTCTAACCCCTCAAAATATACACCACAACCTCCTTTCCCAAAATCACGACAAAAAAAATTAAAAATACGAGAAGATCCCCTCACCATCTTGGCGTTTGTTGACACGGCGAGAAGCAGCCAATGACGAGCCGACAACTCTCGCCTCGACACGTTTCCCGACGTCGCGCGAAGGAAGGGAAGAGTTGTACGACCCGTTGTATCGTGCGGAAATGTAGGGTGTGTGTGTGCATGTACTTACATACATACATACATAATTATATATATGTTCATATTTATGCACATATATATGTGTGTGTGTATGTATATATATGTATATATGTATATGCATACATACACGCACATACACACACACACACACACACACACACACACACACACACACACACACACACATATATATATATATATATATATATATGCATATAGTGCGCATATATATGTATTTGTATACATATATTTCTATATTTGTATGTATACACATGCACATACATACATATACATACACACAGACATAAGCAGACACATATGTGTGTATGTATATGTACATGTGTATATATACCTATATATATATATATATATATATATATATATATATATATATATATATATATATATATATTATATACCCATATATATAGATATATATATATATATATATATATATATATATATATATATATATATATATATATGTATGAATATAATATATATATATATATATATATATATATATATATATATATATATATATATATTTATATATGTATGTATGTATATAATATATATATATATATATATATATATATATATATATATATATATATATATATATATATGTGTGTGTGTGTGTGTGTGTGTGTGTGTGTGTGTGTGTGTGTGTGTGTGTGTGTGTGTGTATGTGTGTGTGTGTGTGTGTGTGTGTGTGTGTGTGTGTGTGTGTGTGTGTGTGTGTGCGTGTGTGTGTGTGTGTGTGTATTTGTTTGTTTATTTGTGTTTGTGCGTGTATGTGTATGTTTGTATGTATGTATACAGTATGCATGCACTGACAGGTGACTTTGTACGATATACGTGAAATTATCGCGCCGCACATAAACAAGACACATACACATCACATCACTGAAAACAAAATATATAGAAATATAAACCTATTCATAAAAATCAAACAATCGTGTGTAGATCCCCGCTTAATGAAGGAAAAAAAAGTTTGATTTTTAAAACGAAAATTTCCTAATGGATGAATTTCTTCAAAAGGCCACAAATTGTTAATTGTTAGAGGGGGGGGTGTAATAATAATGAAAATGAGATAATAATAACAATAGTAAGGATAATAATGATGATAATGATCAAACCAATGGTAACAGTATGATGATAACAATAACAACAATAATGATGATGATGATGATGATAATAATGATAATAATAATAATAATAATAATAATAATAATAATTATGGTGATGATGATGATGATAATAATAACGATAATAATTATCACTATTATACCAATAATGCTAATAATGCTAATAATAATGATTATTATTATTATTATCATCATCATCATCATTATTATTATTACTATCATTACTATCCTTATTATCATTATTTTTTCTCAATATTATCATTATTATTATTAATGTTAGCATTACTGTTATTATCAATGATATTATCATCCCAATCAATATTATTTTTATCACTATTATTATTATACTCATCATCAATATTATCATTATCATCATCTTTATGATAATAATAATGGTAATAATGATAATAATAAAAGTAATAATAGTAATTATAATATTATTATTATCATTATTATAATTATTGTTATTATTATTATTATTATCCTTATTATTCTCATTATTGCTATTATTATCCTTATTATTTTTATCATTATTAGTATTGTTATCATTGATATTTTTATTATTATCCTCTTTATTATCAAAATTACAACTATTATCATTATCATCATCATTATTATTATTGTTATCATTATTATTATTGTTATTATCCTTATTATTATTGTTATTATCCTTATTATTCTCATTGTTGTTATTATCCTTATTATTTTTATCATTATTAGTATTGTTATCATTGATATTTTTATTATTATTATCATTTTTATTATCAATATTACAACTATTATCATTATCATCATTATTATTATTGTTATCCTTATTATTATAATTATTATTATTATTATTATTATTATTACTATTATTATCATTATCATTATTATTATTATTATCATCGATAGTACTCTCATTGTCGTTATCATTATCATCACCACAAGCATCATTATGATTATCATAATAATAATAATGATAATGATAATGATCATAAACAGCAATTTTATGACAGGAATATCAGAAATAATAATAACAATAATCATGACAATTGCAAAAACCATAACAATAATAATAATAATTACAATGACAATAACATCGATAACAATAATGACAGTAATATTAACAACGAAAATGATTATTACAAAAATAACGAAAAATAATAATCACATGAAAAAATACAATAACACAATAATCAATAATAACAACAACAACAACAAACACACCAATAACAACAACAGCAACAACAAACATACCAATAACAACAGCAACAACAACAAACACACCAATAACAACAGCAACAACCACACCAATAACAACAGCAACAGCAACAGCAGCAGCAAAAACGCGAAACTAAAACCCGGCCAAATTTCCGGCCGAGAGTCTAGCGCCACGAGAAACAAAATGGCGATCGATCCGTCTCTCACCGAAACCGACATTTTCGACGAATTTTTGAAATATGGACTGTTTTTGGGCGCCATTTTCCAACTGGTGTGCATAGGAGCTGTTATATTTGTGCCGAGTAGAGATGACAAGAGGGTAGGTACATGGAGAGATGAGGAATAATGTGTTTGTTTCCCCCCCTCCCAAAGAAGGGTCTTCTTGTTTTTCTATTTTTCTATTAAAGGATTGATCTTCAAATAATTTCTTTTGCTCTTATTGTAATTGGGAGATTTTTGGGGGTATGATATTGATTAGGGTGACTCGGAAGTTTTACCGTTTCATGTGCTGTTGGATAAGCAGTGTTCTCTTTTGTATCGTCTTTCACAATTATGTCATTCTTCCCCTTTTCAATAAACATGTTTCCTTCCCAGATAAGAAAGAGCTAGAGTAATTTGCAGTTCAGAGATTATCTAGAAATAAGAGGCAGTTATCCGGATAAGAACTACTCAGAGCTGCAGAGAAATAAAGGATATTGCCTTATAAAGAAACCATAAAGACCAATGCAGCTGTATGCATTTCTCTGCACAAGTGATCGTTACTGTTACAGGCAAATATTAACCTAATGAAGCTGTATGGCATATATGCACACAATGGCAAGGGTAGACTAGAGTTCCTGAATCGTATCAATTTGTGTCGTAGCATTGGAGGCTGATTGCGGATTCTGTGCTGTATATTAAGCACGGAAGCTGATTTAATTTCTTTACAACTTATAGGCATGGAATTTCATGGCTTCAATGGCACTAGGCCATGAGAACATAAGCCCTTCTGTGTTAGTTTTTTTTTTTTCAGTGCTTTTTTTTGGAGAGCAGTTATTGGTTTACAAAGAGACAAATGAAATCCCATCTCAACACAAAATTTTTGTCTTGTGCTGAGCACTGGCCCATTAAGTTAAAAATTTACTCATAAAGACTGTATGGACGTACAGAAAAAAAACTGCTGTAATGAAGAACTAGTAAAACCACATACTTATATACAATTTTCATCTGTTCAAAAGTATAAGTTTTGAGATCATTAAATTAAATCATATGCAGGCTTCTACACAATTGTGGAACAGGACATGTACTGTTTTCAGTATTCATCTAGTCAAAAATAAAAAATGATATAGATTTTGAGAAAATATTAGTGCATCACACATTTGCCGTCCAAAAGTTTTACTTCGATTCATAATTTATCAATGACATGATAAGGCTAATTATATTATGAAAGCATATGTTCAAATCTTCAAATAGCATTTAAACATTTCTCTTCAATAAATTTATACAGTTATTCTGGATTCAGTGTATTTCATAATCATGTTATATATAGGTTTTAGATCTGAGTGCATTTACTCAAGTATTATTCTCATAAAAGTTGAGCATCTTTGTATTGTATGAAAAATCTCACTGACAATATAATTAAAAAGAGAATTGATCAAGTATTATTTGTTATGAAGTCAGTAAATGGTACATTTTAAGTTAGTCTTTGTCACTGCTGTTCAATCCGGGTGGGCAAGATTTATCGAGGAGTGGACAGTTGTCTTCGGGTGGAGTGGTTCCTGAACGAGACCATGCCCATTTGTCTGGATGGAATTATGGCTTGCAAGCTCTTATCTTAGATATGTTTTAAATCGCAAACAATTTTACATATTACATGATAGTTCCATTCATGACAGTTCATCCCTCTCCTCAAGTGAAGTATCTTG